ATTGGCAATTTCAATCTTTTCTCCATTCAGTATTATGTTGCCTCCTAATCCAGTGGTGAGGATTTTTTCCTTCCTGATCTTGATGCGTAATCCATATTGAAGACTGTAGTTTTTTAACTTTTGCAGCAAGCACTTCAAGCCCTCTTCACTATCAACAAGCAAAGTCCCATCATCTGCATAATGGAACAGGTTGTTGAGTCTTTCTCCTATCCTGATGTTAGCTTTTTGTTCAGAGTCCAGCTTTTTTTTTTCCTTTTAATTTTTTAAATCGTATTATTTTTATGTGTACTGTCAAATCAGATCTGACTGGTACAGGAGGAGATTGCCCTCTCCTTTTCCAGCAGAGCATCTGGTGGGTTTGAACCGCGTACCTCTGGGACTGCAGTGCAGCGTCTTGCCACTAGGCCACCAGAGCTCCCTGAGAGTCCAGCTTCTTAAATGATTTGTTCATCATGCAAATTGAATAGGTATTGAGAAGGCCCTGACATATACCTTTTTTTATTTTAAATCATGCTCTATTTCCTTGCTCTGTTCAGACAATTGCTTCTTAGTCTAGGTATAGGTTTCATATTAGCACGATTAGATGTTCTGGGATTTTCATCCTTAATGTTAACCATAGTTTACTTAGATCCATACAATCAAATCCCTTTGCATATTAGATAAAGTACAGTCATTCTTCTGGGTTTCTCTGCTTCCTGCCAAGATCCACTGGACATCTGCAGTAATGTTCCTGCTGCCATGGCCTCTTCTAAAACCAGTTTGAACTTCTGGCAGTACTTTATTAATATACTATTCTGGTTATTATTGGATGATCTTTAGCAATATTTTGCTTATATATGATATTAACTATACTGCTTGATAATTTTCACATTATGTTAAATCACCTTTCTTGGGAATGGGAACAAATGTGAATTTATTCCAGTCAACTGGCCAAGCAGCCTGTCTTTCAAATTTCTTGGCATAGACTGGTGAACACATCCAGGGCTGCACTTGTTTGTTGAAACATGTCAAATGTTACCTCATTGATTCCTAGGTCCTTCTTTTTTGCCAATGTCTTCAGTGCAGCTTGAACTTCTTCCTTCATTATCATTGGCTCTTGATCATATGCTATTTCCTGAAATATTTCCGGGTCAATCAATTCTTTTTGGTACAGTGATTCTGTGTCTTCCTTCCATCTTCTTTTGTTGTTTCCTGGGTTGTTCAAGATTTTGCCCATAGAATCTCTCAGTATTGCAACTTAAGGCTTGAATTTGTTTTTCTGTTCTCTCAGCTTGAGAAATGCTGAGTTTTTCCTTTTTAATTCTCTAACTCTAGCTCTTTGAAAGCTCGTTCCATTATAAAATTTCACTTTGTCTTCTTTAGCTACCCTTTGAAATCTTCTGTTCACATCTCTTTCACTTCTGCATCTCTTCCCTTTGCTTTGGCTTCTTGATGCTCTATTGTAATTTTCAGTCTCTTCTGAAATCTAGTTTGGTCTTTCCTTTTTATACTTAATTGGTCTTAGATCATTCATGTTCAATGTCTCAAATCTATTATTTATTCTTCTCCTTCATTTTTTTCTTATAAAGTTGAATCTGACTGGCACTGGAGGAGATTGCTTCTCCTTCTGTAGCAAAGCATCTGGTGGATTCAAACCATGCAGCTTCAGGATTGTAGCACAGCTTCTTGCCATTAGGCCACTAGAGCTTCCTTGCCTCAAATCTATTCTTGAGATGATTTTTTAAATTCAAGTGGAAGAGCCTCACAAAATTGTATTTTGGTTCTTGTGGACTTGTTTTAATTTTCCTGAACTTCAATCTTAATTTGCATATGAGTAGTTGAACCCACTGTTTTGGCCTTGGGTTACAAAATGGAAGGATTCTATGGGCAAATATACTGAATGAGGTAGAAAGCATCATTAAGATGAAGGAATACAAACACTATACAAAAAAGAATTGGTTGAAAATGAACATTTTATCAAAACAACTATGAGATATTATCTCACCCCAGTAAGAATAGCAAAATTTAGCAGAACAGCAAACATCAAATGCTGGCGAGGCTTTGGAGAAACTGCAACCCTTATTCAGTGTTGATGGGAGTGTAAAATGGTGCAACCACTATAGAAGGCTGTATGGCGTTTTCTCAAAAAGTTGCAAATAGAAATACCATTTGACCAAGCAATTCCACTACTGGGAATTTATCCTAAAGAAACCATAACTGCCACCCAAGCAGATGTACGCACACCCATGTTTATTGTGGCTTTGTTCGTAATAGCAAAGAGCTGGAAACAACCCAAGTGCCTATCAACAAATGAATGAATAGAGAAGCTCTAGTATATGCAGCATTGAAAAATAAGAAACTCATGAAATATTATGCAAAATGGGGAACCCTAGAGGACATTATGCTGAGTGAAATATCTCAGTCACAAAAGGACAAATATTGCATAGGGCCACTGTTGTAAAATGGGACTGACATCAGGGTTGAGGGAAGCCAGAAAAGGAGGGGAGGATTGATGAAACATTGAAACAGCTGAGGGAGAGAACTGTTTAAAAGGCATATATGAATGAGTTTTCTTGTCATTACAGAATACCAGAGTAAAGGCTGCATAGTGGAGTGGACTTGGGGGGAGGGATTGCATAACATGAAAGAGTTTTTCTTTTTCTTTTCAAGGAGAAGAGTGAATTGGCAGGGAGGGGGTGGGCAGGGAGAAAAATGCAACAATGAAATACTGGAAACCCTAAGTCTCTGTAAACTTTCATTTAAGTAAATTTTTAAAAAAAAATAAAATGAACATTTCAGAAAGTAGTGTATGATCAACCAATGGTAATGAAAAAAGTCCAAGCTGCACTGAATTAATTGGCAAAAAATTAAGGTCCCAGTAACAGACAATGAATTGAAGTGTTTAAACAAACAGATGCAAGTCTAGATACAGTCATTAGTTTATGTTAAGAAACATGGGAAAAAAAAACATGGAAGACAGCCACCTGGCCAGCTGGAAGAGATTCCCATTTGTTCCCTTTTCACTACAAAGTGACCCAATAGAGTACAGAAATTATTGAATATATCATGTGCAAGCAAAATTTTGACAATTATTAAAAAAATGGGAAAATTACTACTTATGAAAAGAATAATAGTTATCACTATCACCCCAGTAAATATTTATTTATTGAAACCAAGATGGAATATGTGCAAAGAAACTCACTGATAGACAAAGAGAAGAAAAAGCCTAAGTATTCCAATATACTGTATGTGCATGGATACGTATGAATATGAGAGCACCCTCATTTTCTATTTTACAAATGCAAGAATTCTACACAAAGACCAATGGTTTTCTTTCTATTCACCAGAATGGATTTGTTTCCAGTAATCCAAAGTGAGAGCTTCTGTTTGAGATTTGCAGAAAATATATTTTAGATCCTCTGCTAGTATTATAAAAAAAATTTAAAAATATGTTTCATCAAATTACAGTCGTTACTAGGTGCCATCGAGGTACGACTCACAGTGAGCCTGTGAACAACAGATTCCTGTCCTAGCTTATGAAATTTGACACACTTGAGCCTATTGTTGCAGTCATTGTGTTAATCCACTTCCTTGAAGGTAGAATCCATCAACTGCTCTGTGGGTCAATTTCCTCCCGGTTGCAATTGATTGCCTTTGAAAACCCGCTCTAGGGTCAGACGTGAGTAGGTTCGGACTCATTGGTACATAACAACATGAAGAGAAAGCTAGTAAGAAAGACTGATTATTCCTTTCAAAGGAACTCTGGTGGATTATAGTAGATCTTGCTAAAAAAGTTCTTATGTTACTTAGTCATTGCTATTAATTGTCACTTAAAATTAATTTGGGTTTTCTCTGTACCTGATTTCAATTTATCCTTGGAAAAAACTGGAAACCACATTGTTGTTGTGTTGTTGTTAAGTGCCGTGGAATCGCAGGTGACTCATAGAGCCCTACGAACGAAAGTCTTGGACACCTCCTATAAAACTGTCGTCCTTTCTCCAGGTTCATAGGGTTTCCAGAGGCAAGCTGTGGTGGAAGGGGATGCCACTCCTACTTGCAAATTTGTTTTAATCGGGGAGCTTCATCAAACACTGTCCACCATGGGTAAACCATTCTCGCTCTCATCAGCAACCTCTGTACAGCAAGTGGACATACCAGGGTTACACGACCTAAAAGAATGGGAAACCACATTATTTCCTGGAAAAATGTAGTAAGAGACCTCGTTTTTCTTAAAACATCTTAACAGCACACCGACCAATCGGGGATGAATGGAAACGGCTTCCGTAGTGTTTGGATGTTCAAAGCCTGGAGGTAGTTACTTATCATCAGTGGCGTTACCCCTGACTGGCTAGGTACTCCTCTGTGTCTATTTATAAATAACATTTGGTTACAGGTCTTTATTTTTGTAGTTGTTGTGTATCGTTGAGTCGGATCCGACTGGCCCAGGAGGAGATTGCCAGCGGAGAATCTGGTGGATTCAAATCGCGTGCCTTTGGGATTGCAGCGCAGCTTCTTTCCACTAGGCCATCAGAACTCCCTTGGTTACAGGTCTTACAAGGTTTTGCAAATTAAAAAGTAAGAAGATAAAAATTCTATCCGTGAATGGGAAGCCGGAGAACCGGGCAGCGAAAGATTTGGAGACAGAAGTCTACTCTGGTCCTGTGGGTCTGATGCCACCGACGCGAAGACAACAGGTGGAAAACAAGGATCCTTGATCCACTGCACTGATGCCAGGAGATAGGTCTTCCCTGTCTCTGCCACCATTGGAATGAAGAGCAGATCAGAAAATGACAGTGATGCTTCGACCACTCAGTTAAGTGAACCCTCTGCTGACCCGCGCAGCCATAAGCGCTGGGTGTTCCCAGGGCGGACCCTGCATCTGAGGGCCTGGAGGCCAGATTTTAAAGGCCTAGGACTACTCAAAGCTAGTGCCATCGGTGACCTAGGGCGACCGCAGCTCGACCTTGAGCCGGAAGTGACGCAAGCTCGCCGAGCGCTTCCGGAGGTGCGGGGACTGCTCCTCCGGAGGAAGCAGTGCGGGACCCGACCGGCGTCGGCCCGCCGCCTCCGCCTCTTCCGCGCTTCGATCTGACCCTTCTGGTCCGGCCCGGCCCAGCCTGGCTCGTCCGGGCTCAGTGGCCGGCGGGCTCCGGCTCCCGGTAAGTGCGTAGTGCGAGTCGCGGCCTTGTTTACCGCGGCGGACGGGGGGAAGCTCTCCGCGCGCGCCTCCCTGGCTCGGTCGGGACTCCGCCTTCGCCGCCGCCCGCGAGGGCCCGGCGACCCCCGCCGCTCTTATACGGTCCCGGCGCTGCCCCCGCCGCCAGCTGAGAGGTGGCAGGAGGCTGACGCCGAGACAAGCGGACGGCCATCGTCTCTCTCCATTTCTTGCTATTACCGGTGGGCCCCCTCCGCTGGCGGAGAGGTCGGAGGCCAACTGCTTTGACCGTCGCCGGGGCACTTAGGCCCTGTCCACCGGGAGCTCCGGGGAAACGCGCCGCCTTTGGGGCTTCCTAGCATTCGGAACTTTGGCGGCGCTGCCCGCGCGATTTAACGCCCGCTGGTGCAGGGGGTCCTCGGTGTGTTGGCTTCGGGTCCGAGGGGAATCGGGACAGCTGCGCACCTCGAAGGGACGTGGGGCGAAGGAGCCCCTCCACCGCCTCGTCCGACGCTGTCGGAGTAGCCCCCAAAGTGGCCGCCGCGTTCCGGGATGACCACGCCGCGGTCCCGATTGTTGCTCTGCCCCGTAGAACTTTGTGCGATGATGGACATGTTCTAGGCTTGTGCTGTCCACTACGGTAACCGCTGGCCACGTGTGACCATGGGACATACGATGTGATTAGTGTGACTGAGAGACTTAAGTTTTAAGTAAAATAGGCAGGCCCTTTACCACGTGAACATAGGACTTTAAAGGGGAAATTAAGTGTGTTCCTATTCATCACTTCCTGTCTGGAATGTAGACAGACTATTTAATGTCCCAAAGGCATCGATTGTGAGCATGTCCAGGATTCCTTCAAATAAAAGGACCGGTATTTCATTTTGAAAAGGTCTTGAATGTTGGATTGATGAAAAAATCCCTATCAGTAACCTTGAAACACAGAGATTGTGAAAAGTATGCTCTTTTCTTGTAATACTGAAGGTAAGTTTATGGCCAGGATCAGGGTTTTTCTGAGGATAATTTTTGTTGTCATCGTTGTGTGCCCTGGAGTCAGAACCAACCCATAGCTGGCGCTCTCCAGTGGGTTTTTCAAGGCTGTAAATTAGGGTTATGAAATCCTATAGGCCTCTAACAGGGTGAATATCTGACACTGGACTTGTTGCCTTTGAGCCTAGGCAAATTACTTAATCTTTATTTGTATGAGGAAATGGTAGTATATAGACACTTTTGAGTTACAAAGATAAAAGATTGTGATGTGAAGTTAAATAATCAGTAATGGGTGGAGTGACAGCACAAGTGAGGAAGACCCTGGATGAGATGGATTGACTCAGTGACTAGGGTAATGGGGGTGGGTGTATTGGTGGTAATGAGGTTGGCACAGGATAGAGCAGGGATCAGAGCTGTTGTACCATAGGGTCGCTGTGAGTCAAAAGCAGCTTGATAGCACTTAACAACAACAAGTAATTTTTATAAGCTGTCGTAAAATTCATGGGTTTTGTTCTTTCTGTAGGCAGTATCTTCCACAAAAATACATGTAAAAGTAAAAAAGGGCACAGGAGTGAATCAGTTCTACTCTTTAGAAAAGAATCTTCCACAGTTGTTGTTTGGATTTTTATTTTCTTTTAGTTTGTATTTGCCTGTGTACATAGTATTTTTGAGGAAGTTAGAAGCTCTGCTTTTCCAAGAACTTCCAAAGGACAAGGCGGGTAGAAATAACATTTCTTAGTAAGCAACAAGTAGTATTTATTTAGTCATGAATGATGAGATTTGTAGGGAGTACTTAGTCTGTAGTGAGCTACATTACTAAACCAAAAGCCTAGCATTTCTGGCAGTTCAAAACCAGCCACTCCTTGAGGAAAAGATGAACAGTTTCCTCCCAAAGTTTTATAGCCTGGGAAATTCGCTCTGAGTTGACTCCAGGTCAGTCAGTTGAAAGAGATTGTCATCTCTCTTGAAGGAAACAAATGCGCCTAGAGTATGTCAGGAGACAGATGGAAAATGGGCGTTACTATTGCTCACCCTTTTGGGAACATGTTTTTATTTGAAATGAATGTAAATAATATCTAAAATGTTAGTTGTTTTCTGTAATTGAGTACAGCAGTAGACGTGACTGTACAATAAATCCACTTTTTAAGTCAGTTACAGTTTTCCTGGTGAGAAGGGAAAGGAATGTCTCGTTGTCTTCTAAGTAACAGTTGGGATTGAGTTTCTGTTAATTAGGGAAGGATGGGATTAGGGGGATGCACTTTCAAACTAGGGGAGGAGATTGGACGTCCATTTCTCTCTTCATTCAAATAAACTTCATTGAGGGTTTTCAAACTTCATTGAGGGTTTTCAAAGACTCGGAAGCAGATAAGAATTTCTATTAAAATTAAGTTTATCTTACCCTTTGTAATATGTCATTATAAATGTGTTTATTAAAAATACATTTGTAAAAGCAATGAACTAGTTTAAAATATATAAATTATTTTCATTTTAGATGGAAATCATATGACAGAATTTTCGGGTGCCGTTTTCCTGACAGATCTTCAAGAATTTCAGGTATCTTTAATTCAGAGATGAATTTTGTCTTCTATCTAAAGAAAAATACCATAGTTAAGTGATAAGGTGGTACCTCCTGTACAGAATATCTTGTTAATTGTCAAATAAATGGCAAATACTATATTGCTGTCCTAACATTAGTGTGTTCTTTCTAATAATTTTACATAGTTAACATTTCAAACTTGATCACTATCAAGATACATTTATAATATTACTGAAAAAGTCGTTTTGTAGTCCTTTAAGAAACATTGCACTGCTAACTAAAAGAGTTTCGAATCCACCAGTTACTTCCCCTGAGGAAGATGAGCAGTCTCATGGCATGAAGAATTACTTCTGTCCTCCCTCTCGCTTCCAACGTGACGAAAAGGAGAAACAAGGGTCGTGCCCAAAGACAAGGCAATTAAGAAGTTCGTGATTTGAAATATAGTAGAGGCAGCTGCCGTCAGGGACATTTTCCGGAGTGTCTTCAATGCATATGTGCTTCCAAAGCTCTATGTGAAACTGCACTACTGTGTGAGTTGTGCCATTCACAGCAAGCTGGTGAGGAACTGTTCTCGTGAAGCCCAGGACCAGACACCTCCACCTAGATTTAGACCTTCAGGTGCTGCCCCGCGACCACCACCACTAAAGCCCATGTAAGCATTTGATGATACCTTAAAGGCTGAAGAAAAACTCATCTGAAAATAAAATGGAAATTATACTTTAAAAAAAAAAAGAATTACTTCCTCAGAAACTCCATTGAGGGTCCCTGTGAGTCAGAATAGACTTGTCGGCAGTGGGTATAGCCCTTTAGGCTAGTTACACATTTAATACACATTCATTCTTAATCTTTGTTTTAGGAATTTTTTTCTCAAGTAATTTACATTTTTTGATATTTAATCTAGATTTTTAAATGTAAATTATTTACATATTGTTTAATCAGAAAGTTCCTACATTTTAAGGTCCTATATGTTTTTAGATTTAAATGTTAGTTGATCTCTTTCTTTGCAAATGATCATTTGAACTAGTACCTGTGCAAAAAAATTAGTGGATATCTGCCAGAATCTTCCGAGATGAGATTAGAATTTTTGACTGTTTTATTTCTCATTTAATATTCTTTCCTCATTTGTATATAACTGAGTAATATTTTTTCTTTACAGATTTTTCAGTAGCTGATTTTATTTGTACTTTGTTCAATTTAAATAGTTTCAGTTTTTCTCTGGCCTTGGCCCTACTAAGGCAGAATAATTATATATCACTCTTTTTAGTATTGAGTCAGTTTCTTTGCTTCTGTTTCTTTTAAAACATTGAGGTCGTTTGACTGTGTAGACTAGAGGAAGACATTGAAGTGTAACTTGGCCATGTGGCTTCTGTTTTTCCTTTTTTCCATGTTTGGGAATGATATTTGTGTAGCAGTGGTTTTCTTTTTCAATACTTAATAAGAAACTCTTCCTATGGATGTGCTATCTTTGTCACCACACACTGGTGGCAAGGATATTTTAAACCTTTAGGTGTGTGGGTTCATGGAACTTTGACTTCCTGGCATGGAGCAGCCTTGTCAGACCAGGCTCTTCATGTGGAGTTTTCATCAGCATCTCTTTCATCAGCCACTTCTACCTCTTCAGAGGTTTCCCTTCAATAAGTGTTTTGGGGGGAATGATACTGAAGTTTCTGATATGAAACTAGAGGTGAAATAGGCCTTAGTTGGAATAAAATCACTAAGTACTAGCCCATTTTGATTCTTCATACAATTTCTCATGAGGAAAATAGTAACGCTTATTCTTTTTCTTTTTTTCCCCTCCCTTAGAAGACAAACACTAATGCATTTGAGAAAGGGGTAAAGTTTGAGGACGAGAAGAAAAAGCAACTTTTTCTGAGCTGCAACTTGGTTGGATGCAAAGATGTCCGTGGACATGAATAGCCAGGGATCTGACAGCAATGAAGAGGATTATGATCCAAATTGTGAAGAGGAAGAGGAAGAAGAGGAAGATGAGGATCCCGGGGACATAGAGGACTATTATGTGGGAGTAGCCAGTGATGTGGAGCAACAGGGAGCTGATGCCTTTGATCCAGAGGAGTACCAGTTTTCTTGCTTGACTTACAAGGAGTCAGAGGGTGCCCTCAACGAGCATATGACCAGCTTAGCTTCTGTGCTAAAGGTAAGCATTTTTGCAATTCTCTCCAAACACGTCTAAGGATAAGAAGTTCTTCCAGACTGATTGAGCTTGAAATAAAATTTAAGTGTATAAATTTGTTTGGAATGTATTTACGTTTTTCAAATATACAAATGTCTAAGGCCCTTGGATTACCAATTATTAAGAATTAGAAAGATGTGATAGGATGGATTCAGGAAAGACAGTCCAGAAATGAATAGTCAGTGGCAGACTTGCATGAACTAGCATTTGTGTCAGCAAGTGAGTCTTATGAAACTTTGAGGTCAGATGTGATAACCATGATCATATAAACTGTGAGTAACTGCTAAATATCATAAGAGTAGCCACATCTCCCTGGTTTGCCCTGACATGTATGTAAGTACCTCTGAGTTGATGAACTCCTTTGTTTCCTGGACTGATTACCAGTGTCTAATGTTGAAGGAGATTGTCTTAGCAATAGTTAAGAAACATGATATTTTCATAAAATTATGTCACTGACTTAATAAGTGGTAAATATGGACTTTTTAAAGGATGAACAAAGTTGGTTATTCCAGCAAAAGTCTTATTTTTTTTTTTTAAAGTTTATTATTTTTGTGTGAGTGTACCGCCAAATCAGATCTGACTGGTACAGGAGGAGATTGTCCCTCCTTCCCTGGCAGAGCATCTGGTGGATTTGAACCGTGCACCTCTGGGATTGTAGTAGTTGCAGTTCCTTGCCACTAGGCCACCAGAGCTCCCCAAAAGTCTTATTATTTTTTTTTCAGTTATTATTATTATTATTATTATTTTGTGTGCGTGTACCGTCAAATCAGATCTGACTGGTACAGGAGGATATTGCGCCTCCTTCTCCGGCAGAGCATCTGGTGGATTCGAACCGTGTTCCTCTGGGATTGCAGTGCAGCTTCTTGCCACTAGGCCACCAGAGCTCCCCTCAAAAGTCTTATTTTTGGCACTTAAACTAGCATCTCATTTGATGTTATATTTTAGGCTAGCACTGTCTTTGCTGTTTATGTTTTTGTTAATTTTTTAAAATGATGATTTACATGACTTTCAAGCATGCATCGTTATCTGTAACATTGGACATTCTATGAAGTGGCGACGTTTCACTCTTTTTTGCAGACTTTCCTTCAGGAATTATGTGTGGATTTTGTTGTCTGTTCAGCTTGAAAGTCAAGGGCATGTAGGCCTGATTTCAACCAAGTAAATTTTTGTATTAACATTTGAGTGGAAATAGATAAGCCATGGGTCGTTTCTATAAAACTCACTTTACCTGTTTGTTGAGGGAATTCCCCCCCCCCCCCGCCCCCAGATGCTCAGCACAGGCCAACTTGAACCTTGTGTTTAGCTAGTTGTGCCTTACTTGAGGTTTTGTTAGCAACAGGATGGAAGCTGGACGCTAAACCTTTGTTTAGTGATTTATTCCTAGGAGTGATTTCAGTTTTTCTTTCTTGTGCTTCAGCAGAAAATTCCAAGGATTGGGGACCCATTGTATCTCTATATTTGGGATTTCTGCACTTTGTCTGTGGCAGAGCTACTGGGACTTCTGTGTTCAAAGGGCATTTCCCTGGTAGAAAAAGATACCAGGTCCCTTTTTATGGCACTGCGCATCTCTTCCTTGCTGGTCAACTAGTTTTTCTTTTAACTGTTTATTTAGTCTGGTTATATATAGTGTTGATCTTTAAAATTAAGAGTTGTCAGATGTCTGACTTGGTGCTGGATGGTGCCAATTAGCGATGTTCCTCAGAATGTTCCCATCTGTACATAGAAGTTCCAAGTTAGTCCAATCCTGTGTGTACCTCCAAAGGTGTTAAGACCTCCTGAGATACACCACAGGATCCCCATCCTTCCTTCTACTAGGCTGACATGTGGTCAGCTCCCTGGAAAGCCTTAATTTCACCTCCTCATCTTTAACTCTCAGGGAGGGCTCTTCATTGTTTGCTTTATGCTTTGCTTAGTTCACCTCCCGAGAGCCTCTATCTAGCACATGGTCATTGTGCTTTGTCCCAGTTTTCCCCAGCTTTGTCATGGCCAAGGAAGTAAACTCAGTGTAGATCAGAATTTTAAAAGTTTGGCTAAACTGAAATGGGAAAAATTATAAATTGAAGCCTTAATAAAAAAATCTCCCTTCTAGAAAAGAATGAGCAGCATATATGCATATTGCATAAGAACAATTTCTCTGGATCATTGGATTTTGAGCAGAGTCAGCAAATAGTGGTGCCCTGCTCAAAAATGGCTGCAGCCTCTCCACTTTGAATGTGTTTCACTCTCTGTTGTTGTTGTTGTTATGTGCCATCGTGTCATTTGTGACTCATAGTGACCTTATGTACAAGAGCCCTAGATGCAGTTCTATCCTGTGCCAACCTCGCTGTCTCAAACATATTCATTCCCACCACTCCACTCACAGAATTGATCCATCTCATCGAGGGTCTTCCTGTCCTGCGCCATCCCTCCTCTCTCCCAAACATGATGTCCCTCTCCAAGGACCAGTCCCTCCTTGCAACATGTCCAAAGTATGTCAGACGAAGCTTCAGAATCCTTGACTCCAGGGAACATTCTGGCTTCACCCTCTCCAGGACAAACCTGTTCTCCTAGCAGTCCATGGTATATTCAACACTCTTCTCCAGCACCACAGCTGAAAGGCTCTTTCTATCATCCTTATTCACTGTCCAACTCTCCAGTGCATAGCACGTAATCGCAAAGACTATAGCCTGGATCAGGTGCACCTTAGTCTTCAGCCTGACATCATTGCTCTTCAGTACTCTTGAGAGGTCCCTCACAGCTGACTTTCCCAGTGCAATTCGTCTCTTGATTTCTGGGCTGCTGTTACTAAGAGTGTTGAATGTGGAGCAAAGCAAACAAACTGTTAACTATCTCAATCTCTTCACCATCCATAGTGATGCTGCCAATTGGCCCAGTGGTGAGAATCTTTGTTTTCTTGACATTGATCTTCAATCCATATTGAAGACTGCAGTCCTTGACCTTCTGCAACAAGTGCTTTAGGTCCTCCTCAGTTTCAGCAAGCAGGGTTGTGTCATCTGCTTAATGCAGGTTGTTGACGATTCTTCCACCAATCCTGATGCCACATTCCTCCTCATACAGCCCAGCGTTTCAAATGATCTGTCCTACATACAGATTGAAAAGGTATGGAGACAAAATACATCCCTGATGGACCCCTTTCTTGATTTTGAACCATCCAGTGTCTCCCTGCTCTGTTCTGACGACTGCCTCTTGGTCCAAGTATAGATTTCGCATTAGCAGAATCAAATTTTCTGGGATTCCCATTCTTCTCAGAGTCAGCCATAGTTTGTTGTGATCCACAAAGTCAAAAGCCTTTGCATAGTCAATGACGCACAGATAGACATTCTTCTGGTATTCTCTGCTTTCTACCAAGATCCATCTTACATTAGCTATAATACCCCTAATACCACGACCTCTTCTAAATCCAGCTGCACATCTGGCAGTTCTCTGTTGACATCTTGTTCCAAACTTTTTTGGATAATTTTCAGCAGAATCTTGCTTGCATGTGATGTCAGTGATATTGTTCGATAATTTCCACACTCTGTTGGGTCACCTTTCTTTGGAATGGGAGCAAATATCGATTTCTTCCAGTCAGTTGGCCAGCTGGCTTTCCTCCAGATTTCCTGGCACAACTTAGTGAGCACATCCAGGGCAGCGTCTGTTTGTTGAAATAAATCAATTGGTATGCAGTCAACTCCCGGAGCCTTGTTTTTTTGCCAGTTCCTTCATAGCAACCTGAACTTCCTCCTTCATCACCATAGGTTCTTGCTTATGTGTTATTTCATTAAATTCCTCTGTGTCAGCCAATTCCTTCTGATACAGTGACTCTGTGTACTCCTTCCATCTTCTTTTTATACATCCTGGATCATTCAACATTCTACCCAAACTATCTTTAAGTATTGCTATCCATGGCTTTAATTTTTTTTTCAACTTCTTCAGCTTAAGAAACGCTGAGCGATTTTGATTTTCTGACTCCAGCTCTATAGTATCTTGCTTTGTGGTCCCGAGCTGTCTTTTGAAATTTTTGATTTCTTCCTTTAGCTTGGCTTCTTGGCACTCTAATGCAATACTCAGAGTCTCATCTGACATCCATCTTGGTCTTTTCTTCTTTTTTAGTCCTGCCAATAATCCTGTCACCTATATTAGTCTCCTCTTAGAGCTTACTATACCTTGTCCAAGTCTCAGTTTACATTTCAGACTTTGACTTGAAATTTTTCCCATTATAGGTATCTAGATATTTAAATTTTCAAAAATTTAGGTCTATTCTGGTTTTGCTTCCTGAGTTATGACTGAACTAGTTTGAAGCCCTAGAAAACTTCCGTTTTCTAGCCCAAACATTGCAGACCATGTGTTTGATCATAGGCTGTATTGTCTTCTGACTGCTTTCTGTTCTACCTTTTTTAGTAGTTTTTCCATTATCTCCATCTAGATTGCCAGTTCTTGATCTTATTTCTTGTCTCTTGCATCATTTCTGCTAATATTGTTTAATCTGTAGTAGTTTGTTTCAACCGTAGTAGCTAGCTGTTAAGTATTGTCATGGGTATTTTTATGGTTTTGATGACAGTAGCTACTGCTGCCTTTTTAGGGTCAACTGCTACTGGTTAATGCTAGTAAGATCCCCAATACTTGTTGAACATCTTTCTGTACTATTATGGTCTGGGATTGTCTTTATGACTGAGAAAAAAGTATCTTGGAATAGAGATGGAAGATTAAAAAGAGATGGAAGAAAGTTGGAAGAGGGAGAGGCTTAAGGAGAAAATGGGACAAAAAGGACAATAAGACACAAAAACTTAGGTGATCTTGGTGTTCTCTGCCGTTGAGTTTATTTTGATTCATAACAACCCAGTATAATAGAGACCTGCCCCATGGGCTTCCTGTGTTTCATTTTTAAAGAAGCAGATCCCCAGGAGCAGCTGGGCAGATTTGAACCACCCACCTCTGAGTTAGCAGTTAACCTTTGAGCAATTAGCTGTTGTACCACTAGGGCT